CGGTTTTGGCAAAGGGACACTTAGGGGTGCCCCCATTATACCTTCGCGGGGTGGACTGGCATCTGGGCCTCGTCAGTAGCCCCAGTCACTTTTGTGTGCTTCTTAAGTATATTCTACCCGAGTACTCTGCCTTCTTTCGTCTTTGGACAAGTCTCGGGGCGTTACATTACTGGTAGCGGAAAGCGAATCCCATCTTAAAGGGCATCTACCCCAATCTCTGCTGCTGAGTGATAAATCTTCGCAGAGCAGAAGAAGTGCATAAACTACGGATGGGAGAGTCGATAATGACCCATAACAAAAGGGCTGACTGTGGCGTCTACCTTCGGCACCTACCCCAGTCCCGTGTTCTGCAGGAAGGCCATTAACAACGGAAGCGGCACTAGCCGTGAATCATCTGGAAAAGTTTTGCTACGGAGCCGATTGCCGTACCTGCATGAAAATGTCAAATGTGTGGGAACGCAATACCTCCTCCACTTCCCTACTAATTGGACAGAAACCATGTAGGTATGGCTGACAGCTCTGAAGTGAGAACAATGTGGTAAGGAGGAGTAGAAGCGAAACCCTACCCCCTAGGAATTATGTTACCTCTCGCCCTTGGTTATATGACTCTGCTTTTGGACCGGTGTCCCCACGGCTCTAGGCGCGTGTGATAGCCAGTACATTGCTCCTGTCCCCATATAGCAAGAAACTCCAGATTCAGTAGTATTGCCGAGAGCGATCAGTGACGTTGTGGTCAAGCATCTCCTCACTTGCATGGAAATTCGATGAATGCCACGGTTAGCTTGTGGGTGCTTCCTCATAGCGCCGCCTACGTTGCGATAGCTGGGACGGGAGGTAGATCAAGGGGTTCGCCGAGAACGACGATCTAAGGAGAGGGGCTACGTAACACGATGGTTGTTTAGCTCTCCGTCTTGGTAATGGGGCCACTTAGGTGCTCCTTCATTGTACCTTCATGAGGTGGGCTGGCTTCTAAACCGTGCCAGTAGCCTCAATCCTTGCTGTGTGTTGAATTCGCATATCCTGTCTGAGGGTTATGTCTTTTTTCGTTTTCATTCAAGTCATTCGCGCAGAGAAGACATCCTGGGTTACCACATTTACATAATCACTTCTTCATTGATGTTAATTAGGCTTTATTTGCGTGATGCAGATCATGCCTAGCCGACCACCCATTTCAAGGTATGTCGGTTGGAAGTTCTGAGTTTTATGCAGGGGCTACAATGCACCCTATTTAACAATTAAATGAACTTAAATTAAACCTCTCTAGAGGTTGATTTTGTTTGCAGGAAGTACATCCTCGAGGGCATTGGTTACTCGATTTTCCGGTAATTTTAAAAAGCAGAGAAATGGAAAACTTATCTTCCAAAAACATTACACAAGTAAGATACTTTGACGATCTACTTCACAATTTTGCTTTAAATCATGGAGGGCCGCACAGCCTCACCTTAACAGCACAGCCATAGTCATCAAACAGGAATCGAAACTAACAAAAATGGCAATGCGTCGACTGCGGGTGAACGCAAGACGACTAACGAACGAAGACGGACATTTTACGATATTTGGTAAAGTCGACATTGGCGAGAGAGCCGCGAAGAGGGTCCTCACTGACAGAGGAGATACTGCGCTGCCGAGCTCCACTGCCTTCCACCATTGAGATCCGGTCAGGCAGATTGATGTCCTCTGTGTCCCAGTAGGCATCGTGCACAACTGGTGGTATCTCACCGTTGTAGGCCCGGTCCCAGAAGTTCGTAAACTGAAGGGAGATGAGATGATGGTCGTTTCATGACACCACAGTGAGATTCGTTGAATGCCAACTCAGATTGGATCTTTTTACTTCTGCATGGATGAGTAAAGAAGTGGCCGAAAAGTTTGCCCTGTGAGTAATATCCGCGGATGTGCTGTAAACCCATCTATACCCCGTTAATCAAGACGGTAGGCTACAGTGGCATCTGTGTGGAAGAGCGTTAGGTGATGAGCGGTCTTATGAGCCAGGGCGTAAAACCCACGTTTGCCTATCCACAGAAAAAGTCAAGCGCCGGTCAGCTCAAGTCTATTCTGCAGATCGTTTAGGCTCAAAATTTCAGAACAATGGGTATTGGGCCAATCTACTTAGAATTACCTGGACATTACGTTCAATGTATTCCTCAATTTCAAAGTCGTCCTCATCTTCTCCGAATGGACTGATAAGCGTCTCCGCGACCTAGAAAAGGTTGGAAGCAAAAGAGCTCGATCGTAAGTAGGTGGTTTTATATTTGACTTCGGCCTACACGCCGATAGCATGCAGTTACATTCAGGCTACTTATGCTACTAGTCTTCCAACTCTTTCGGATATGCCATACTCGTGCACATTGTAGGGCCTTCAGGGCTAGCTAGAGTTCCCCGAATTCCCATCTTCTTCCCACTTACCTTGAGCCAGCCCATGTAGAACAGAAAGCGAAGTAGGCCGAAAATCGGCACGTAAAGATCCACACTGATGTGTTTGTATTTCTGGTTCGGGTCAAGATACTGCCATGCGAAAAGAGCCACAATGAAGTAGGCGTAGACAATCAGTGTTGCTACCTGGAAAGGAATTTGTTGCCCCACTTTTCTCATCTGATAGAGGAAAGATTCCTTCTTGTGTGCACACTGGGACGGTGGAACAAATTACCTGAGTATACACAAGCGGAACGTTTATCCAATCATAGATACTTAGTTGAAAAAGAGTGTCTCGATAGGCCCCAATTTCGGCTGTCAACAGTTCGACAGCTCGATCGAAAACAATGTTCTTCTCTTGATACATCTCTGCGACCAGCTCTTGGGCCCAACACAGCGGCAGAAAATTCATTGGTTTCATGCTGTCAAAAGCGCTCTGCCGATAGCGACGCAATTCTTCTGGTGTGATCAGACCTTCAGGATAGATTGGAAAACATGAGTTTATTAATTAGACAATTGTGGAAAACTATCCGACCTCGCGATTCCAAGCCTAAGGTTAGGAACAAATTTCGACTTAAATTCATAGACACTCCCCAAAAATTGATACTTCTCTGGTATGTACTAAGTGCGTTCTTTTACAACTGGTAAGAGCCAGCCCGCATGTCACATGCGGGCCAATCCACAGACCAGCAATCAAGATAGTGAGTCTGTACCTGCATGCAATGAATGCGACATCCTCTCGGACGCCCATACAGCTATCAGTGAAGATCTTAGTTTAGGTGGCTGCCGGTTCACAATACAATCGTGATCCTTGTGAACGGTAGTCCAGCACGTGAGCACCTGATCTTGGATGGACAATCGATGTATAAATGTTGTGAGACGTAGCAAATTTTTCGATGGAGATGGTGACAAGGCGTTCAAGGGCATTTTTGACCCCAACAATCTGATGTATCCTTACTACCAAGACAGCTTCCATCAGGTTGCCCTAGGATGGCTCAGCCGTGCCAAAATGTCTATGTTGAAGCGTCCTAGAGATTGAATAGTTGATGTTGAGAGAAGCGTATAAGTACATCAATCCAATTATCACGCCTGGGAATTCATTCTCTTTCTCCACAAAGTCGAAAGTTCTGGTTCGAGTCGAATGTGAGGCCATTACTGTGTGTGTGGAGTCAACTCACAAGTCCCAATGCACAACTGTGTGCTGTCGCGTGACCTCAACTTTAACGCATGTACTGACTTGCGTGAGCGCGGGATCCGGCAAAGGAAGTAGACAGGTCTTATTGTGAATATTACCATAAAAGGAAACTACTCATTATGTTAAAAGGATTGAGGAAGTGTTTACTGTTGGCACTTAAATATCGGGATTCCAAATGTAATCTGCCATTTAAACGATAACAGTTCCGTTAATTGAAAAAGTCTTTTGCTTTATCATGAGTCTCAGTGATAATGAATTGGTGGGCAAAAGTAACTGCGCCAAAGTACTAATGATTACCTTCTTGAGAAAAAAGTGGTATTTCAAACATATTGTTAGTTTTTTTCGATAAGAATGCACAAATTATTGATATCTGTCCTATGCTATGCAAACGCCGACATCTAAAACTTCCTGGAAAGAGGCGAAATGATAGCCTGGGCAACTGAGCATTACTCATATGAAAAATGACAAAAATGAAGGGAAGTACCAGCATAAATTTCTAGAATTAACAAAATACAAAAACTCCAATCTAGTTTAGAATTTGCCGTTTTGTTTTATATGACGAATAGATCCAGAAATTGAGAAGATGGACACTTTTTTCGCATTGATGGAGTAAGCGCGTACGCATAAATCGGGTTCCAATTCTTGGTTTAAATTTAGTAGACCGGAAAAGGGGGGAGAATGCGTACAGTAAAGCTGCTTCAAATATTGTTTTTGAATATATGCATAAAGAATGAGTCCAAAAATGTACATTTGAATTGGCACGAGGCAAACTAACTGTGGGTAAAAGAAGTGACAAACTTTAAGAGCTCATAGTGAGACAAGTATGGTCGGAAAGCAGTAGACATCCCCAAAAAATGAACGACCCTGAGTCCAAGAAGTAGTCGCCGTGATTGAAAACCTGTAGCTTTCATTGCAGCATGTCAAAGAACAAAACAACAATTATTTCAAAGCGCCATACGAACCAGCTGTGATAAGAGTTTCCAGCGTCGGGAATCGAAGTCGGGCGCGGGAGGAAATATTCCGGGTAGTGAGGCAAAAGGAGAGGTTGACGTAACGAATGAAGGTGCGCCGTTGCATGCGAGCGCGTTCCGTTGTAGAATGCGCGTAAGCATTAATAAAGAGAACGAGGGAATCGGGCCAAGGGACGGCGCAGAACTGCTCCCACCACCGTCGGACAATGGTGTTTACGTAGAAACCCAACACAAAACCCACTGGGAAGATTTCGCATAGCTTTTCACAGTGAAGGCAAAAACGTTCAAATGTCCTGCAGTTTATAAGGTGTGAACGCAACTTTGTATTTTGAAGTTATTGAAATGGAATGCCATCACACATGGATAAAGATTTGGAAATATAATTGTGAAAACGTTTTAAAAAACAGAATCTTGCGACAAAACAGGCCAAAAAACCAGGTACACACTGGATGGTAAAGGAAGAATTTATTACCTTTTAGAGGGTTCATCTAGTGCGAGGCGATATATCAATGAAATAATCGCGTATAGGATTGAAAATATTATAAATTCGAACCAGATGACTTTGTAGACACTCCCTTTCCATCTAAAAAGGCTAAATATGATAGGTTGTATACCTAAAAAGCAGTTTTAAAAAGGCCAAATAGGTTGTAGTAGCAACAGAAGCGGTATAGGATACAGTCATCAGCAGATACTTATGAATGATTCGAAAGACCGCGGAGTATGTGACACACTGTAGTTGACAAAAATAAAACACTTCACGGACATACGTGCCATTATTAGATCACCACTAATGTCAGCATGGCATCAATCGTGATGATTACTAGTGTTGGCTAATGAAGTATTTTTATTACGTTAATTGGGACTTATTGCCACAAAGTTTATGCATTTCCAGTGTAAGAACAGCATTTGGTTTTTAAATGCCAAATTTCCAAAGAACTAAATGCTAATGAATGAATTTTTGTGACAGTCATCGATGTCCCACCTTGTGCTGATTACATCCATCTCTTTCAAAGGCGCATTTTATGTTTTAAAGCGTGCACCCCATTCATTGGTTGGTACCTGTTTTGTAATTTAGGTATTTTCTTGCAGTTATTCGCATTTCATATTGCGTCAAATTTTGGAATTTGGGTAGCTCAGACTTTCCAACTGTCGATGTCATCTCCTTACTAGTTGTATTTCCAAATATCGATATTTTTCCTGTTAGCTCATCCCTTCCAAGTACTAGGCTATGTTGATATGCTTACTTACTATCGTCTAGTTTGCGTTAGCAGCGAGTTGTTGTGTCATTAAATCAAGGACAAATTTCCCCTTAATATTATTATGTATTATTAATATTATAATATAATACTATTAACCTGTTTTCGTCTGAATTGTTTATTGATCACGCAAGTTCATTGTTCATAGGAGTTATCTTCTCTACTGTTTGAAAACAGCCTTTGGTATTAGCGTGCAGGGTCAATAATATCTAAACCGTGTTAGGCATGCGTGATAAAAATTGTTCTTCGCCTTATAACCTTTCAAACACTTGATTTTTACTTCTACCAAGACGGCATATTTGCGTGAGACTATATCCTGCTATTATTTGTAGGTATTTGGCAATGCCTATTGTGTCAATTCCAGAGAAGGTTCTTTTTGAAAAGCTCGGTCGTAGCTATAGTAGGTTACCGCTATATCCATAACCAAGCTCTCTTTAGCTGAGCAAGAATTTGACGACCTCTGCTTCGCCTATGGCCTGGAACTTGACGAGATAGTAAGTAGTTCAATTTTTCGGGCGGCAAATATTACCCCCTGCCTAGACCTCAGAACAAGAATTGGCAGCCAGAGAGCACGGAATTGCCGTCGACTCAGATAGGAGTTCCGAAACTATCTATAAGGTCGAGGTGCCTGCCAATCGATACGATCTCCTTTGCGCAGAGGGACTCGCCCGGGCTCTGCTCATTTTTCAAAACAAGTAATGTATTGCTTTTCCTGTTAACCACCATTCATCGTCTTTGTGATCAACAGACTCCTACATTCACCGTTTTTAGGTTAGTCACCCCAGAGTACGAAGCTATCGCACCGAAGAATCCGATAAGGTTGATGGCCACGGAGAGCGTGAGTCGTGCACTTTTTCTTGAGGGGGGGGGGGGTTAAAGCATGCCGAAGTTTTTGAAGTATACTGTCCCATTAAATATGCCTCTTGAAGGTGAAGCTGGTTCGTCCCTACGTTGTCTGCGCCGTGCTAAGAGACATCAAATTCGATGAGAGGCGTTACGCGAGTTTCATTGATCTGCAAGATAAACTACACCAGAATATCGGTCGGTGAGTTGGAGATTAATGCCCTTTCGAGAAAAGGCCATACACCTGCTTTGGTGAATTTTGCCGCAGTCTGATTTTCGCAATAGGTGATGATTATCGCCTTTTCTTGGGATTACCATTAGTTTTAGACGTTTCTATGATCACATATAAAATAACCAGTCGGTCACAAATCCAAAGTGAGGTGGAAACGAAAATGGCTAGTCAGTTCATGAATGTTAGGTTAACGCAGGAGTCTTTTTAGGACACTTCATTTACTGACAATCGCTGCTAAAATCTAGTGTTTAACACCTTCCCAGCAAGATAAGCTTGCATCCGATCCCACTTTCATCCGACTTTGTCTGTAGAAACAAAGTTCCTTATCAGTTTATTTGGCCTCCTCATGCGTTGGAAAGAGATCCTACAAGACTATTGCACGATTTTGTGATCAATATAGTTCCGCATTTGTAGATGAATGTTGTTTTTAGTTCTAATTAACAAGCACCTTTGCACAGGTAAATCCTTGAAGGCGTGGAACAAAGTGCTTAATTTGTTATGTCTGACAGATATATCAACTTTTGGTAACAACAGGGGCTTACACCAAGCCAGGTTCTGCTAAGTTTTACAGCGAAAGGATTGCACTAATTTTACCCATTATGTGCGTCTCGCAAAAACGCGATGTTAATTTGTGCTATTTCTCCTCTAATGTGAACAGAGAAGTGTTTCACCGATAAATTTCAAGGCCGGAAGAAAGTAGTTTTGAAAGAATTGATAAACCTGTCTAGTGAAGAGTAATGGGGTCCGCTCTTTCCATCATTCCCCGAACTATAGGAAGCGTAGTCTCGTTGCCATAGGAACGCATGATTTGGACACTCTGGCACCGCCCTTCATTTACACTGCATTGCCACCCGGAGACATCCGTTTTAGACCGTTAAACCAGACCAAGGAGTACACAGCTGTTGAACTAATGCAGCTCTATTCGGTACGTGTGCGATCTCTTTCACCCGTAACTTTCATTTTTTTTTGACTACTTGCTTGTGTCCTTTCTTGGTTGTATTGTAGAATGAATCTCATTTGAAAGCGTATCTGGATATCATTCGCGACAAGCCGGTCTATTCTCTGATTAAGGATTCAAAAGGCACAGTGCTCTCCATGCCTCCTATCATCAACGGTAGGTTTCTGATTACCTTTCAGCTTTGCATTATTGGGTTATGGGGTATGTAATGGACTGCATCTCGGAGGGGTTTAAACAGTGATTGTGAATACCGTTGGTACGTGATTGGTCGCTGTCTTGTGACATTCGTCTGTTTGCCTCATCACTTCGTCCACGTCTCGCACTCGAGCACTTTGAATGCTTGGAGGCTAGAAACTTAACCAGAAGGCAGATATCTTCGATTTTTTAAGGGATAAATGTTTCTTTTCATGGCTAGATACCTATAAGTGGTGCCTAACGTGTTCGCCCCCAGCATCACTCATGTGTGAAACCCCGCTTATTTTACTCAAGCGTCTAGATGTGTCGTTAACGAATTGGGTTCAAGTTAGAAAAATAGATATACGATGTGTTACTTTGGAGGTACACCTTTTCAAAAACTCAAGGCGGCAGGTAGATCATATAATTTGGTGACATAAACGCCGGTGTCACACTAAATCAATCAAGTGTCTGTACGTCTTGAGTAGTCGACTTTCCTTCGAGGCTCTGGTAACGAAAGTGTTAATAGAAGGTTTGGATGCTAGCAGTTTAAGCCACTATAAGTAGCGCAAATAATATTATAGAAATATGGAAGTGCAGTAGGGAGGGAGTAGATTTTAGTGATATCCTTTCATTTAATTCTCTCTCCTACAGGTGAGCATTCCAAAATCACCTTAGCAACCAAGAATGTCTTTATTGAGTGTACCGCAACTGATCTCAACAAGGCTAGCATTGTCGTGGATACCATCGTTACTATGTTCTCAGAGTACTGTGCTCGTCCGTTCACGTAAGATCACACTTTCATTTGCATCACTCTTGTAACGCTGATACCTTGCGAAGTTGATGTGCTCAAATTTTATCACCTTATTCTGTTTGTCTTTGCGGTTCAAAGTCATTGTAGTTGCATATGGGATGCTATTCTAAGATCGTAAAGAAAAGGATTCTCAACATATTTTCATTGTCTTCCCCCATCTAAACTTCAATTGGGCCTCGATTTTCAGTAAGACTTTGCCGAGGCGTTCACTCACTTTTTACCTCCACAGTGTTTTACTTGAAACGGCTTTTTGAGAAGGACAATTTGCATCAAGGCTTAACTAGCTTCACCTAGCTTCAAGTAGTCTGCTTTTGACTTTTTAATTTCAGAAACTGTATTCCATGTCTGCACTTCCATGTTTGTTCTGGCTTTTCCGTCATTTCATCTTAGTGATTAGGGAGAATCGGTTTCCACCTCCCATTTCTTTGCGGTGTTAGCAAAATCCGTTTCAGGTACCAAAGGCAAACTTTGCACCGCTTTCAGCGATACTGAAGAAATAGTCTCCTTCCCTCAAAAATCGAAAATAGACGTATTTGAATTCTCGTACGAAGCAGTTTTGCCCTCAGGACCTTATCACACATGGTAATACCACTAGATGTCAGAATCTCACCTCACCCTGAGGATGGAGTTCTGAATTAAGGTTTCAACAATTTTTAGATCACGATCCTTGTTTTCTCTCACGTTCGCGGAGCAAGTATAGATCGTGCATATACGCGAATTGGACTCATGTTCGTATTTAATAGTAAAGATTGCTTCTGTTTCTATCGTTTTCCTGTTTAGCACCAATTCATTCACGCAACTATTACAATTTCAAATGACTTGATTGTAGTTGTATTTGTGTTTCTGGATACTCATCTCTTAAACGGCTTTAATTTTTACCACCCCAGATACGCTTCATTTTGCTAAAATGTATACTTTTTACATCATTCATAGGAAGCCACTTGTCGAACTTTAAATATTTGGAAGCAAAGTACTCACTTTTCTGTATCCTCTTCTTGTTCATCTCTTTATTAGTATGTTCGCTACCAAAGTCCCACATACGTCACACCCAGATCTTCTCACCTTAACCCGGCCTCGCAAATCAGTGATACGCGTTTCTTGTCAGCTTATGGCTGGTACCAGTAATACACGTTACAAATAGCCTAGTCGAGTCGAAAACACGCCCTCGATTGATTTTCTTTCAACTTTCTGGAAGGGAACGTATTGAATATTTTAACAGCGGGACTTATGGACTCTAATTCATTGCTTCAAGTTCCATCTCAATTTATCCATCCCATTTTCACAGAAATTGAGAAAAAAATTCCTGCAGGTTCCACTATATGGCTCTGATTTCTTCAGTTTTCAGTTCACTTATGTTCGCATTCAGTGTCGTAAATTTACCTGCTGCGGGAGATTTTCGCCCCTACCATTGTTGGCCGAAAAACAGGCCTAACTTCTACTTTACTCGTGCTTTTATTGCCTATTGTGGTATGGATAGAAGTCAAATAGACATTAGTGCAGTTATTACTCTTAAAATGTTAAACCTTTACGTTCTGGCCCAAGGGTGTCTCTCCAACCCTTAATCCTCACTTCTGCTTTTAGGGCGGAACAAGTGGAGGTCACCCAGTGGGATGGCAGTTGCGCCTACTACCCCGTGAGTTGACTCCTTACACCTTTGCACACACAATAAGGAGCTCCTCTGACCTTTTTGGTATTCCTTTCGCTTTTCAAACAGCGCCTACAGCGGCGCACAGCGTTGGTGGGCATGAAGTACATAAATACCCTGGTGGGAATTGACTGTAGTGAAACTGAAGTCACCCAATTGCTCACTCGCATGAGCCTCACCAGCTGCGTGGCTAACAAGGATGTTCACATATCAACGGATAAAGCATGCAGTAAGTCGATTTCTCGTTTCACTTGGGGGTGAGGTTGGATTAATCAGGAGAGCGGGAGGAATCATTTCCGTGTTCAAGTGTATGCCTCCCAGTCGGCAGAGGTCGTGCACAGCCTCAATCTAGTTTGAGATTTCAAGTTGCTCGGTCCAAATGACGCTCTGCTTTTTATAGATTCACATTTTATTTACCCTTTGCTCCGTAAATGGATCTGAGTATCCTGGTTCGTGTTTCAGGGGACACTGCTGTGCTTATCTGCGTATCCTATGCACATGTACACACGCAGTGCTCACTATTTCAGTAGCTTGGAGAATTGGAGTTCCGCTTAGACTAATGAGAACTTGAGGACCGATTTTAAGGAACAGAATCCAAGCGTTAGGGGTCAAATCGTGAGAGACGGAAGTGACTGGTTCAATAGTACATATAGCGTAGAAATGTAAACATCATATTTTATAAGATCTGAGACGTTATTTATTACATCCGACAAGTGTCAAATAATGCGCCTCACAGACCTTTCACAAGCACAAAAATATGTGCCAAGCTCTCAATGCTGTCCCTTATAAACTGAGAACATTTCGGATGCAGAAGACCTAATAGCGCGTTTCGGGATGAGATGTAGGGCAGGAGAGAGCCACTGATTCATCTCATCCTCATTCATCCAGTGTCTTATGGTATCACTCCAGGTAATGTTTATCACCTTTTCTTGGAATTGCCATTAGCATTTGACAATCCTAAGATCGCATGCGAAATTGACTAGACATTCGGAGGATAAATGTGAGATGAAATAAACAAATATGAAGTTGTAGAGCATTGACCCAGCAGTTTGTTGGCTCCGAATTGATACTGTCTGGACTCGCTCTCGCATCAAACCTAATGCTATCTATATGCTCTGTACCAGTTCCTAAGTATAAATACTTGATTCGCTATGACTTATCTTCTGAAATGAGGATTTACGGACAGCTGATCTTTGTTCGCATTTCTCTTGATTGTTTAATTGGACTTTGCACTAGAACAAACAACCGAGAATAAGAATTGGGCGTTTGTAGTAGTTTTCGCTTTTATTTCTCTACACGTAGACGGGAATACGTTTAAGAGGCTTGCTAGATGTAGCATAACAGCTGAAAATCAAATGTGTGCATTAGCAGGGTCTTACAGGCAGAATTCGTCCACCACATCTACCCAGTTTTTTTACTGTTTGAACGTGATGCCAACGATTGTACCACCCAACTGACCTGTTTTACTACTGCTCGACATCTAAGGAAAAGAAATGTCACGTTCCTTGGATTACAAACATCCTACATCCGTCTATTGTGTACAACCCTGTTAGTTTGTTTATGAAACGATTTGGTGCGGCCAGTAAAGATCAAAGACTGCTTACATGTGACACTTGGTTGAAGTAAGAAAATCTGCAATCTTTCTAAGTCAAATAAGTAAGAGCTTGTGCTTTTGGAATTGGTTGAATTACTAAATTTGCCTCTTGTGATCACTTGCCACGCTTAGACAGAAGTAGCGTGCTATCAGTGCGAATTCCACCGACTCGGCAAGACATTCTGCACCCTTGCGACATCGCGGAGGACGTGGCCATTGCCTATGGATATGATCGCGTGGAGGAGAACCTACCCACCACCTTCACCATGGTCATTGAACAGCCGCTCAACCGTCTTACCGACATGATTCGCGCCGAGGTGGCTCTCTGCGGCTTTACTGAAGCCCTTACCTTCTCTCTTGTGAGTTCTTCATCGTCGTCTTTCTCGTAAATCCTATCTGATGCGTATCAGATTGGATGATATAGCTTCAAGAGAACTGACTGTAGTATAAAGTCTTTGCAATCTCTTACTTGTCATGTTGGTCATTATTTCCTCATTTACTTGTGTTAATTTGAATTCCACTTTCTATCTGATGGTTGAGTTTGCCATGGTCTTTATTAATTTTGGGCAGTGACAGAGGGAATGGAGAGTATAATTCTAGGTCGTTTCTGAGCGTATTGTGCTTACACTTTCTGTTTAAGAAGGTGCACAAGATTTGCCCGTGCTCTGATCCGTTTTAGCCCTGAGTTCGTCAAAGTATGTGCCAGATAGGGGTCTAGGCAACTGCGACTGTCCTCTCGTCTATGCTTGTCTTGAGTTCCCGTTGACTCTAGACCCGATGGTCTTCAAATGAGGTTTTGGCATATATTTGCTACGTGGATTGGTCTTCCCTCATCGCCATTCTTTGACTTTCTCTCGTGAGTTTCCCACATCCACCGCTTATCCTTCTCTTCCTCTGGATTTGCCATAAAGGATGCTCAAATATTTAGTTTTATAATGAAGAGGAACATCCTTTCAGCCATTTTGCTTATTCTCTTGTGCCTTTCGCCTTGAGTTCTCATTGACCCTAGCTTTAACCGCTCTTTTTTAGCGAGACAAGTCTCTGCCGAGGAGCCGAATACCTTTTTCTCATTCCTCTTTCCATCCCTAGTTCGTAGCCTGTTGGGCTTGGTGCAACCCCAGAAGAACATTTTTGCTCAAATTTCTAGAAGTATCTGTCATCGTGGTTGTTTTTGCGAACATCTTGGAAACCGCCTCTCTCTCACCCCCTCCTGTTTGACCAAGGTCGGGTCTGTTACAGTTTAAATAGGTCATTAGTCTGTCTAAGCCCAAGATGGTTTGACTAAGCCGACTGAGTGACTCGGGTGCAGACCCAGACTCCGGCATTCTTCTCTGGTCCGCCGCCAAACTCGCACACACACCTCATACACCTGTGCTCACACGCAAATCGGGAAATCATGAGAAGACATCTGCCTTGAAGTCCTTTGCCTACTTCTTATCTTGCTGTTGGTCTCGATAGCACCAAAACTAGTTGCTCACCCAAATCTCTGTTCATAAAACTTGGCCACTTTTTATAACACCCATTATGTTGGACGCTTTTCTACGCCTATTTAGTTCGCCTCCACCTCGGATTGCAAATACAAACGTTACCTCTTCACATCAATTTTCATATGTAGGTGTAGATTCTCGTGAACTGTGGCTTAGAGTTTGTACAGGGGATGATCAGGAAATTTTTCCACCTTTTTTTTCCTCGTAGAGGCAGGGATAATCTTATAGTATTTGTGCTTGTTATGTGATTTGCTTCTGCCTGGTAAGGCGGATTTTGCGTGAGTTGCACCGAAGAAGGAGGGATGGGGCTGCTTCATCTACCTTTCAATGTCCCCTCAAAGGCGCGTACCATGAGTACATTGCTGTGTACCTTCGGTGCGGCATTAATTTTTTCACACAGCATCGTTTATGCGAGAAGTGAAAGATTGAAAGTGAATTTGGAACATTTTGAAGTCTATGCCTGATAGTAGAAGACTTGAATTTGAAGGCTGTAGACAAGTGAAATGCGTTATTTAGATCTACCTATGTCCTGGTTCACTAAAGTGTGTGGCAATTGTGTCTAGACGACTGACATGGAGGCATAGGCACAACCTCTTCGACACTCGTTCTCGCTACATTGCTCAGTACTGGAGAGGAAATGACATTTTTCGCAACAAAGAATAAATGTAACGTTGGCTGGTATACTAACAACTTTTACCCATGATCGCATTTCATCTAACGGCGTTTCAAGCTAAGGCTTGTTAATAGCATCCCTTTTCCTAACTACAATTGACATATAGCTTAATGAAATCGCTTATAAGTGGGTGCTTAAAAACAGTGTTTTTATACCTTATTTTTAGTGTTCACGCGCGGATATTAGCACGAACCTGCAGAAAAGGCTGGAGGATCAACCGGCTGTTCACATTAGCAACCCAAAGACCCTCGATTTTCAGGCAAGTTGCTGACCTGTGAATTGGGGGTGTTAATAGCAGTCTAAGCAATTCATCACTTGAGAAATTTTGAGGGGGGGGGCCAGAATAACGAATGACCAGGTCAACTAATTCTAAATGTTGAGGTCTTGCTTTCTATAACATGATGCGTCTTGGATTGTCGTCATCTCTTCCGCCTCGCGTGTTACCACTTTTGAGGCTACAGACAAAATTCCACCCAACCACCACTTGTTGTTCTCCCTTTACGGATTAAGTAAATACGAATACCTTTGAAATAATTCGTTTCGCTTCTTTCAATCGGCTTATTTCGATCCTAAATTCACCTGTCTAAACGGCGCGCTCTGAATCATTGAACGGCGGCTCTGCTGTGTGTGTTCATCCGCTATAATCTGCGCAGCTGTGGAAGTGCCTACTTGTCTGCATTGCTTCCATATTTTAGAGGTAACAGGATATATGTTGCAGCTAAAAAATCAAAGTACGGATTTTGGAACGGGATAGTTTTTTGCCTTCGGAATATCGAAAAAAGTTGGTAGCACTTTGGGCCATCTCAAAAATAGAAAATTTCATACTCCTTGCACCTAACATCGACTCGAGAGGGTACTAAGAAATGAGTGATTTTCCTACTTTAATCCAATTTTCCCTATTTTTTCCCCCAAAGGTGGTACGCACAACCCTGCTTCCAGGCTTGCTTTCCACACTCTCCAACAATCGAAGTCTTCCCCTGCCGTTGAAGCTCTTCGAAGTCCAGGATGTGGTGTTGAAAGACCCCAGCAAAGGTGGTTCATGGCTTTGTTTTTCTTGATGTGATCCAGCCATCTTGGATTGTTTTCTTTCCATCCATCTCAGATAAATTCCTCTATTCATCCCTCGGGTAAAGTGGAATACATATCCTGGACTCGCAGTTCGGTTTTGGGTAATGGTCTACCAGCCCAATGTCCTATTTGTCATATTTTGTGGATGCTATTATGTAGAAATAATGAGCATATTTCTTATTTAAGCAGAGGTTTCATACGACAATTTTGCATGCTGGCGGTAAAGCCCAAGTTAAAACATTCTCTTTGTTTAGCCCTTCGTAATCAGTCAAATTTGAGATATAACTCAACCATCGGGGTATGCAAATTATGAGGTTATCAGCACTTTTGGGTAACTATATGCTTTTTTTCACTCCGTAAATAGAACAGCTAAGTATTTCCCGGGCGGGAACCCCAGTGCAGATAGTCGGGAAATATATTACTGTGGTCTATGAAGCAAACGCGTAGCTTCTGAGACTGCGCTTCAAAGTCTGACAGAACCCTTGATAGTTTAGTCAGTGTGTGATATAGATACGAGGTATTGCCAAGCCTCAATCATAGTAGACAAACCGTCGCACTTTTTGGTCACAATTGTCCAAGATGTCTTGCATTTATGTTTGGGGGTCAAGCGTGCCGTTCCATCTGCTCTCTTTCATATAATTGTTGATCAAAATAATGCGTCCGCACTCGTTAACGTTGCTGTCACACGTCACAGTGATTTCCCGTTATTTGGCTATCATTAAGGTGCGTCAGTCATTCAAACCCACATTTTAATTTCTGGTCATTGGTGATCTCTGTGATGCGAAGCTTGGAATTCTTAATCGTGTCTTTTTAAACCGAATTGTATTGCGGAACCGATGCGGGCGGTTTCTGAGTACTTTAACGGCAAGGCTTTTTGACTGGCAATGTGACCGAGGAACGCACACACACATACACACAGTTCATTTGTCGGTGCTTTTGAGAAATTTCGTTCTAGTGAATTGCATCCTCACACTACGATGCAAAGTGGATTTCACTTAGAACCTGCCTCGCGTACGGTAGACAAAATGATGGTAATTTGAAAGCTAAATTTGGTAAAGCTTTTACATGTTAAAGTGGAACCCTATAGCCTCTGAGTTGTCCCTAAGGCCATTTCAAGACATAAGGGGCTCGGAGAGGGTTTTGCTATGGAGCCACACAAGGGAGTTTGTAGTCTAGTTTATAACTCTACGCCACCGTTGCAGAAACCAACCTGCGGGAGAATGGAAAGATTCATGTAGTAGCTTATAATTCAAATCAGCGTCGTTCCTTCGCGACTTTTTACTTTGTTTCCAAGGTTGTTATTTTTTTTTAATTTTTATGATATGTATTCGCAATACTACGAAACCGCTTTTCAGTCATCTAAAATCTTTTGGCCTGAGGTGGGAAGTTTGCTGCTTTATTCAATTTTCCCTTGGATCTTGTTCCTGTAGACGTTGGATGCCGCAACAACAGACGTGTATGCGCCGTCTATTCCAACAAGACTTCGGGATTCGAGGTCGTCCACGGCCTTCTCGATCGCTTGATGCACGTCCTTGAAGTGGCTTACGAGGAGAACGCAAAAACTGACGGTCTGGCCTATCGTATGAAGGAGGTTGATGGTGGGTCACTCTTACCCCATAAAATTCAACAGCATGTGTTTATGCTTGACGTTTGTTGACAATCGTTTTTTCGAAACTCCCGCTACCTTTGGACGAAATTCAAGCGGTTGCAGCTTGGCTAAGGTGCTTATTGTTTGCCGTTACAGGTTTAGCCTAACTCAGCGCTTGAGCACTTCGTGTGGGTCAGTTTAAGACTTAGATCTAAAATGTCATGATCACCTACATTTTAGCATAGAGGTGGAACTACTGAAAGAAACCTTGATTTACCAAATATTCTCAGCCAGTTTCGGCGTAGCCTATTGCAATGACACCATTTTTAGGGAGGTGCAAATTCAATCCATCAATACGGTACCCTTTGTCGTGCTCTCTACTAGTTTCCCCTTTCCTTTAGCCCAAATATAATAAAGGGCCGCCGTTTTGTGCGTGGACAAGCGGCTTAGTTCCTCTCTGAGCACCAAACCAGATCATCAATAGATAAAGACTTTAGGACAGATGACCTTCCCGACCTATGTGTGCGGGTCAGCACAGAGGTACGATGTGCATGAACGAGTCTGGCGGCCGGCTTGTTGGAGAATGCCCGTAACTGGGTCTCAACCTGAGTTTGCGTGTGTCGGTAAAGATGGAACCTCCAGAAATCAAGCAGGAGCGTTTTTCTAGCGTCGGAGGCACTCTCGCCTCGTCTCCGATTTGATCCACAACGCAGCAGCCTTCATCGAATAGGTTAATCACCTATTTTGCTGCTTGCAACAGGTAGATATTTATCGGGTCCAAAATTAGACGTACTCGTGTTTTTTAGCTGTTTCACGCGAATTGCAGTTCCGAAGTTATTCGAAACTGGTTACTGAACGTGACCCTGCTGTTTGGTTTGATGTGTTTTTTGCAGATCCCACGTACTTTCGGGGTCGTTGCGCGGACATCATCCTCTTGCCTTCAGGGCAGTCGATCGGTCGACTCGGCGTCGTGCATCCGAACGTGCTGCGCAACTTCGATCTCTCCCTCTGCGTCTCCGCGTTTGAGATCGACATTGAGCCCTTCCTGTGAGCAGTCTACCTCAGCATCCTCACCCTTCTGTGTCTGTCTCAGTCCCGCTCCTTTACACGCGTGCAATGAAATACACGTGGCTGTGGTGTTTTGTTAACTGCGTCTTAAAGTCGCTTGACAACATTAAAAGGATGGTTTTGTCGGTTTTCTCGGTGTTGAAGTTACGACTAAAACAAATTTTGGTTGCAGACCAGCAACAAGACCTTAAAACAGCGTCATTGCATTGAGAAGTCGCTAGCTATGTAAACAATTTGTAGCTGTCATGGCCAAGTGGACGCCTATTATGCGTCTTGCTATGGAAAAGTTGTTTTGCGTACGGGAGATTGGCAGGCATCTCGATTCACACTGCAGCTGGAGCTTCGTGGTAAGGATCGAGGAAACATTGATTGAGGAATCAGGTTAGGGTTGACTAAATCTGCATTCACGCCTTGGGATGCTCGAGATGAGAGGGGTTTCTGGCTGAGGATCCGAAACCCGTGACCGAACTTCTCAACCACCTGGCTGACCTAGCTGTCTTCAGGTGCACAACGCCGTGGTGGTGGGTGGTCATGACAATGGATTGAGCTGATGGGTGGAAGTGTCCTCGATTAGAGCACGAAATCGACGTAGTGGTCCAGAATTCCAAACAAGTTCGGAGTTGGCATCAACTCAACGCTTTCGTGACGGTTATTGGCTCATCCTGTCACAGCAGTTCTCAACTACGTTCTGGTCAGTTGAAGTTGCTTCGCTGTTGACGAGAGCAAGCGAATCATTTGATCCTAAATTTAAGTCTTGAAACAAAAGGGGTATGGGAGTGGATACAATCAGTGGCTTCCCCTAGAATGTTAGCAACTTGGGTTACTGGAGATCAACTCGTTTAAGCCCAAGAGTTTGGCGTAGACCCAAGTTAGTCTATTGAATCGCTACAAACTAGTGATACCGACGTAACCTGTTTCCAATGTTACATCTACGATGGCTGACGGCCACGAAGATTTTCCGCCCAGTGTCAATCGTGTGAATGCTTTTATTCAGCATTTTCCAAAGCAGTGTCCATTTCATTACAAAGTATTCTTGACTTTAGCCGGTTTGGTAACAATTTCAGAAAGGTGGATTGAAATAACTACAAGAGTGAAGCCTCCGAAAAGACCGGGGTGGACGAGGCATACTTTGGTCAGAATTTTCACTACCATCACTAGCTATTTTCAATCACGAGCCAAGTTTAAGCTTGTTTTTTTGTCAGTGGATGACAACTGCTAAAGCCGTTTTGACATTGAATCAGAGTGCATCGATAGTGCAACACCCAAAGCAGGCTTTCCAGGATGACAATATTGCCACGTATCTTCCGCAAAACACAATGCCAAATTTTACGAACAACATCGCGATGTAAGTTTCTGATCTAAAAGACCGACTCTGTTAGAGCAATTTGCTTAAAAGACAAATACTTTCTACACTAACCTCTCAATGGGAAGAAAAAGCCTTCTTTAGCTTTCTGCATTACAGACACCATGAGTGAAAGACCAGGGAAGCGGGGATGAGTCATGTATACACATAGGAGGAGGGAGAAGAGTGGGAGGTAAATGAGGGGCGACAGTCTATCGAACGAGGTTCCATGAGGCGTTCCCTATTCGCGCCAGAATTATCCGCGCAGCCTCCTCGCGAACCGCAATGTCTTCGCAGAGGCCCGCGGCGAGATGTCCCATATCTGCTGTTCCTTCATCCTCGTTCAACAAACGGGAAAGCATCTCTTGAGGCCGACGCTCCCCGCCGTGGCGAAGCAAGGTGTCACGGTACCTCTGCAAAATACGAGCACAACGAAAGAGCTGGATGGACCAAAATGCAGTCACCATGGCACACCATCCGGGCTTCACCAAGATCTGGAGGGCGGATCCCTACGGCGTAACTGAGGAGAAGCAATGAAGATAGCTCCACTCACCCGTCCAAAACCCGATGACCACGGATCCCCCGCAAACCCCTTGTGCCAAATCAGCCCAGCAGCAGCTCGTGCCATGAGGTAAGAGTAGTAACGCCCACCATAGCTACACAAATGGCCAAATCGATGTGTGGTGGCCACGGGTAGGTGTTGCAACTGCGATGGCAGATCCGTTGACAGCCAGGGACTACAGTGTTCCATCAAGAGGTTCTCAAATAAAAGAGCAGATGGTGGACTGGCGCTGGGAATTCCTTGGAAGGGTGTTAGCACCTTTGAGGGGGAGTCGGAGTGCAGCCGTTGATCGAGGATTGAGTGGACCAACTATTAAGAAAATCCAATGATAAAATCACAGACTCGATGGAGGATCTATCAAAAGGGGATTTCGCATAGTTTTGCCCGAAACAGAGGCAACACATAGATTGTAAAAAAAGCTAAGTATTCCTCAGAACCGATGCAATTGAGATCAAAAACAAACCTTTAACTCTGTGTCGAATAAGGAACATTGTTATCAGAAAAACGAGGAGACCACTAATTCTTAGCGAAGCCCATTGCCTGCTTTAATGCTTCATCAGATTTTGCCGCCTCTTGACCTTTGGCAGCGGTCGTCAAAAGATTCCGAATGGCATGGCTAGAGGGAAGCTAAGGCAACCTTTTTGACGATCACCGTCAACCGGTCGAAGAATGCAGTAATGATATGCATCTGACTGCCGATGCCTTTAATCGATATCGTCTCCAAACCGTTTGCCAAACCAATCAAAGCCAAGTAGGCTGAGGTTGGCCTTCGTGATGTAGCACGGTCTATTCTGAATAATGATGCGCCACCACAGAAGGATTCGAAACATTAGTCGCCTGGAGAGCCCCAATTGACCACCACCTACATCAGTGACAGTTTCAGTTACCCCATGAACCGGTGGATTGCCAAAGTCGACGCCATAGTTTCCTTGGAATGACAGTGACGCCGGAGCCGGGTGTCCAGCTGTAGTCCCCCTTCACAGACATTGAATAGGAATGCGATAAACCTTCGGCGACCAGGTGCATTCATCATATCGGAGAGTTTACAAGCTTTGGGGGCTTATTTTGACTACGCTCTGCATGCTTGGTGGTGTCCCGCTGGAAGTGGACGAGTCAGACTGACAGCACCTATCCCCATGATTAACAGTGTCACACCGGGGGCACAAGTGATATTCGTGGCGGGAGTACTTGACAAAGTGCCAGGTCTCGCAGTATCAACAGGAAGAAGATGTCCACTTGTTTTCGCCAATGGTGTGCTGGTTGTTGGGGTGTCGGTAGGGTTTGGCCGAGCTGGATAGGCAAATCGCATTGACCGGGAATTGTTTTTTTCTCCCTAGACTGAAACAAAGCGATGTCATGGCTGAGGGTGACCAAGGGTGGGCGCTCAGTTGTTGCTGTTTGCATCGTCATAGAGAAATTCTTTTCGGTCATAATAACCAGACGAGCCCAGATGTCTGAGCATGTGGACGACCACAAACCGGAGACGATGAGTCTGCAGCTTCCGCACTGACAATTTGACCCTTCCCGGTTAGGTTACATAGTCCCTATCACGGCATTTTGGCAACTTGAGATAGTTGTAACTCAGACTAGGTAACGAAGACTGCTCGTCAAAAATGCCTTCTGGCAGTGATACAGTCGCATCGAAGTTCAGACCCTTTAAGACCTTAGGCTTAAGAAAGCTTCCATGTTTCAGATGCTCAGCTCTTCCGAGTTCTCTTAACAGAAGTCGGATTTCCCACCCATCATCAGTGCCAGGAAACCCAGATCAGTAAAACGCCCCATTCTGCTTAACCAGGAATCAAATATGGGACCGAAATTTGAAACATAGTGGAACCGTGTGATACTGCTTGTAACAAACTCAATAAATTATCATTTTAGTCCGATTCCGAGATTCCGCATCAGAGTCTTCTACAGACTAGATTAGGTTTGCTTGAATTGCGCCTATATAGGTTCCATCCATTTCACCTGATCCGCAAGTAGTAGTTCACGCTCTACTGAGCTCATGTTTTGAATACGGCGTTGCCGATTCCTATAACCTGGATTTTTCTAGTTCTTTTGACCTAGACGCTAGCGGAGTCCCCAAACCAAACCATTAACAGATGAGAAATTAAGGGGGATGTCATTATCGGCCTACGTGCGAGCAAACGGAGATGCGATGTGCGTCCACGGACCAGCGTCCAAACTGTGACAACATCCCGGATGCACATCTGAGCCGGCCTAGTCATGCGCGTCTATCGTGACTGGTTAACCTTGGGCTTAGGGTGACCATTAGCCCAATTAAAGTCCGGCTGATGCGATCTCAGACAACAAGGTGGAAGCAAGCGAAAAGTGGTCTCTGAGTTGTTTGCGGAAATAATCACGGAAGTAGACGCTTCTAGAAATCCGAAAAGGCGTTTTTCTGGAGTAGCAGACATCCTCAGCAGATTGGCACATAACCTGTCTTGAATGTCTGCAATTTGAAAAAGGCGGTTCACATCGGACACTACTTTAGGTTTTAGTTTTTGACAAACGCAGAGGCAGGAGGGATAATAAACCCTTTTAAGCCGAATTGTCCCATGTAATACTTGAACGCTGAGACAAGTGCATAACTGTAACAGGAGGCTATACCGAAATGTAAACACGGATTTTAATTCGAGAAATTTGGTCTTTTTTGTAAGCTTCGAAGTCCTAATTTGAAGTGAAGGACCTTCGTGTCTATAAATCGGCCAACTTATAAGCGACGTAAGCACTTTTTTCCGCCTCTTATGGCCTTAGTCGGTCAACGGTACTCCAAAAAGGGTTCCAACAAACAGGGACAAAGCCACAGATGACGCCTACCTGAAGCATGACCTCGACGCTCTCTCCATAGCCACGGCTAGCGTTGAGATAAAGAAGGGCTTTCATCTCCTCATCGGAGTTGGGTGCCTCACCAGTCTGAAAGTGACGTGCGTACTGAGCTGTCACGCGGGTGTCCAGGGCGAAGTGTTCCATTAGGGTGGAGGGGAGCTCGGCCAAGTCGGTGCTGCATCTGTTGGGGTGAGACAGCGGATGTATCCTCGGGAGAAGATAGCAGATTTGCGATACATATGTGGACAGCTGCCCGATAATTGAGCGTAAAATATCCAAATTACTGAAACATTTAGATGGATACGACACCAAGGACCAGCTAGCACCTCCTACCACTACCGTGGGAGCATACCCTCGAGCATCCTGCGCGTAAATGCATCTGACGAGGGGTTCTGCGAACCTCCAATTTCGTTAAAAATCAGCACCACTTATACAACTTTGCACATTGGTCATGATTATTTTGTTTTGTTTTAATCCATTCCTTGATATGAGTGATATGATGTGATCATGTTAACTGAAAGGAAAAGGGTACGTGCGTTGATGCCATGCTTGAAGTCCTCTGCACATGTAGATATCTGCAGGTTCGAATTTCACCCATTCATCCACAAGAAATTCTATCGCTTACCACACACTGTCCCATGCACGTACACATTACCACTGTTGCCTGCCATCTTAATCGGAAGTGTCGGAAGCAGATCGATCCAAAGATTAGGTAAAACAAAACAACGAGCTCTCATCGAGAAAAAAAGGTAAGTTGATGGATCCGCATTAGAAGAAACCGAGGAGGGTGAACTTATGGGTTGAATGGAGATGGATAAACGGAGAAAACGCACCTAGTTCCGGTAACATGCTGGTAGCGCGTGCGTCCAAGCACCGAGTGGAGTGCATGACCCCACTCATGAAAGAGATTCTCCACCTGTCCAGGTGTCAACAGAGCCGGAGTTCCGTCCTCACTGGAAGCAGGACTTGGGCCCAAGTTTAGCTGAAGCACAACTACTGGATACTGGTAAGGCGAGTGTGACTCAAACATGGTGTTCTCAGTGTGACGACCACCCCGCACTGTGTAGTGGCAGTCCTATAAGCACAGGAGAAAACGGACGGCTGTAACCTAGCTGTTTTTCGTAACTGAGGGACACCTTAGCTACTCGCAGTAAATCGGTTACTTAGCCATGTTTCGGTGAAAGGAAACGAGTTATAATGTTAGTATGGCAAGCAGGAAGCGGACAAGTCTTATTTACTCAGGATGGTCTTATGAAGAAGCTACTACTGGAGATGCCTGTACCCCCCAAAAAAACGTTCCCATTTTAAATTTTCCATATTTTCATCTTCATGGGTAATTTCCAAACATTTCAAAAAGTCGCGTTCGTACTCATGTCCTCCTGGTTGGCTGATATCAGATCAATGCGAATCAGCTAGCACAACTACGGGTGACCGGAACCACCGAGTGACCCGGACAGCCTCTACTACCCCGGAATTAGGAGCGTGCGAACTCGCCGTACCCTCTTTGCTCACCCATAGGTGTCAATGAAAGACATCTGTAGCGAGGTCTGTTTATTGACTATCTGGTTAGGAACTAAAAAGGATCCAAGTTCACGCACATGGACACCCAGCCTGTAAGAATTAGCGACTTAAGTGTTCAAATCATGGATTCATCAAAGCTCGAACTATCAAATGAGCGACAGCTGAAGCGAGTGGAGCTTCAGGAGACAATTTGAGTAAACTCAGGTCAAATTGTTAGACTCGGCTGTAGAAGCTTAGAGCCCAATCAACGCTACCGTTGGGCCAAAAGTGTCAGCATCTGACACGTAGCAGAATGGAAAATAATTTAAGGGTACATACGATTAGACAGTCCTTCGCAGTTTTCCATCTTTCAAAAAAGCAAATAACCGATCTCCCAGTTTGCCTTCGTACTTGGAGTGAAGTCACCTATCGTCTTATTTCAGATTCACCTGAAGACTTGCGATGGCCGAGGATGACGATCGAAACAAGGAGGTTCGTAGTAGACAAGTACCGATTGGTATTTCTTCCTTCCTCGGCTTCCACGCTAGTGAATTAGAATCCCGTTCATGCCATATATGCTACTTTTCTTTCGAAGCTTAAAGCACTACGATTGTGGTAGCTAGGTCATTCCACCTCTGACAATTCCAGCAATGGAATCACCTTTCATTAGTACAACTAAGTAGCACCAACAATTTGGTGCACATGACAAAATTTAGTGAAGTGGTGCTAGGTTTAGCTACTGATACCTCCTTATCGAGACCAATACTTTGGTTTTGTATTTACCATTAGTGCTAATGAGTAAGAAAGCAGTGTTAGTGTTGCACAACATCGCCATGGAAACGGTATGAACGGCTTGAAACATTAACAAATGAAACGTGGGATAATCTGAAAACGTCTGCTTTGGAAAGTAATTTTAAACGCGATCAAGAATTTGGAAATCATTTGAGAGGTCAGAACTGGGACTAGTTTCGATCATTATCAAGTAGAAAGTGGCCGCAACGAAATGAGATCTATCCATTTAGAAGTAGAACAAAGGGCAGATGTAAAGTCGGTCCCTGAATAACTAGAAAAAAAGAGATTAAAGCACTCATAGTTTTGAAGAGGAAGAAAACGCAGAAAATTTGCCGTAAATGAAGTATGGTATTGGATGAATTCCGCATTAGAAAAAGAACAGAAGGCGGTGTCTTTCACCTTCTCAATATAAAGTTATACCACAAAAGTACACTTAACTGCTGATACATATGAGAAGGTACAACGTAGTCACTTTAGGAATCATGACTCGGAGAAAGTTTCATAAAGTTGTCACTACTATACATCTGAAAGAAAATGGGGATACCAGCATTGATACTACCGAAAGTCAGATGACCAACCAAATTCCGATCACAAGAGCACCGTTAAAACGACAAACAGGTAAACGAGGGAATCTTAAGCGAATTCGCATAAAAAATCTAGAAACGCATACAACTTCCTCTATAGACCAAAAAACAAAATTGAAAGGATTCACGTACCGTGGGTAGTTTGCCCGGCCGATTGAAAAAGTCGCAGTAGATAGTGCCCACCTGTACTCCCGGCCCAATAGGGTACCGAACCTCCCAAGGGTGCACCTCTTCTCCCTCCATCGCCACGTGGGATTCCGTGGTATAAGCGGTGACCTTGACCACATCCGGATGCCACACCTCGCCAGGTAGGGCGGGCTCTGCCTCCAGTCGCAGACCAAAGAGGCTGTGCGCCAGTTGGCTCACGCCCTCCATGCATGCGCCCAGCGAGAAGAAGGCCTGTAGGCGCTATAATGCACACACTGAAGTGTTAACTTTACCGACAATTCTGCTCGTATTAGCAGTTTTTCGGCCTCCAAACCTTCCGCACATTTATAAATCTGTTACCCTAAATGGCACAAGTGCCAACCTGTGCCAACAGAACTAGGACAACTTACAAACACTTGAATTTTGTGCAGACCTCCTCAAAGCTAGATCAGACGCAACATCATATAAATTATAGGTGATAATTCATTTTGCATAGCTCTAATTCCAACTAATAAAGTAAACATTTGGATTTGAAAGCGACCTCTTACCTGCTTAGATAAGAAAATAAAATATCCAAGCTCCCATGTCTTGGGATACGAATTGAAAAAAAGCCATGTATAAGTTAAATAAGCAAAGCACAAAGAAATAAATGAAAAATATTGCAAAACATTGAGACACGCCTAATCAATGCAATATGGAAAAAAAGGTATGTTCACCTCATATCCACCACATTGTTGGCCCTGATGAATGAGAAAGGGTATGTCCCAGGGTCGCAGACGATCCTGTTGAGGTTCTAGATCCTTTCTTAGATGGGAGAGCGCCGTTCTGGTGGCTGTCTGTGTAAGGAGTGTGGAGAGCGTCGTTAGGAAATGTTCCACCCCTTCAGGTGACTCCGCAAGACTCGTCTGTTGCACGGCGCGATAAAGGAATGACTTCTTGCCCGCTGCTCTGCAAATAAGGGCAGTTAAAACGAAACAGTCGCCTACTTTGCCATTTTGTCCCTGGCCTCAAGGAGCTCAACCAGCCGGTATTCCTGGCCTTCAATGGGACCGAAGAAGAGAGTGTAGCTGAGGGCACGTAAAAATTGTTGAGGTGCCTCGTAGTAGGGGGAGTAGAGCTTCTTTCCGCTGAACGGACGCCAGTCTACGTCATTTGAAATGGAGCTCAAGAGGGTGGAGCTGAGGGTGACAGGTGTGTTGGCGATCTAGAAAAGATATTAGGGGCGTATGAATGTAGACTACTCTATTGAATTCAACGCCGAGTTCTAGGTTCCGAGAGGCTGCTTTAAGAAACGTTTGGCGATCAGACGCATCCTTGAGATGTACACCAGATTGTTCGAAGTCCTCTACAAAGAGGCTGAGCACCCGTTTGTCTACAAGATCGGTCTGAGCCTCGGGACTAGAAGACGATGAGGTCTGAGCATGGACGGCTCGAACTGCAGCATCGTAAAGGCCAACGTCAGTGTTTAGGCTTTCAACGAGATTTCCAACGTGAAGACAGACTTCATTTGCAGCACGCTGATAAGCCTCATCAGGATGTAGGGCTCGAATACAGTCAGCCAAGTCGGCTACTCGACACAAGCTGTCAGAAAGATCATCCAGAACCTAAAAAGAATAAATGTATACCAAAATTCCCTTTCCGAAATAGCTGGTTGAATTGATCGTTCAAAAACTTAGAAGTATTCGATACCTGAACCATTATCCGCTTTCGGTTCGGATTCTTTGCCTCATGAATCAACATGTGACAATTGCCGAAGCATTCATCTAACGATGCTTGAAAACCATCAGGTTCACATAATTTATCATCACCGAACAGACCTAAACACACATTCGTTTTATGTGCACGCCGAGCTAACCAGCAACTTTCTTGTCCTTGATGGAAATATTGTTTGGTCCATAATTAAACGCATCAGCGAGTGGAGAAAGTCTGATGTGTTTTGACCTGCAGAAGAAGCCCAAACGGACTAAATGTCGTAAACAAACAGGGTGAAACATTGTGCACACCAGTATACAATGACCACCTTAAATTGACACCTTACCGTTTAAACCAATACCTAATCAGAGTCTGGTCCTTGAGTGCTTTATTAGTATAGGTATTAAAATAGGTATAGATATGTCACCTCGCACTTTATTATATTAATTACTAGAGGCACTTATTATTTGCAGTGCATTTGTGCCACCAGGATTCAAAACCGACTGACACATATGTATATGTTTTCACCGTCATTCCATAAAGCAGTGATTGGGCTATTACTGCAAAAGGAAGTACTAAGCAAACCTGTGTTAATTTTGGTACTTAGAATGTTTTCTATGGAACATTTTTACGTTGCGTGAATAGTTCCCAGATTTCTACCAGAGTAAATTATTGAAACCACTTGAATTGTTCATACCATGCCCACAGAGACAAATCAGACTCCTATCGCGCAGGCTTACAGCAAATGCTGCTTTAATTTGCTTTTTTTTAATGGTACATATGTAACACCCCGAGACTCCTTTGAAAACGAAAGATCACATAAGTTGGTAGGTTGGTTGTTCGTTTAGCTCTCAGGTTTGGTAAAGGGCCAAGTTGTGTCTTGTCTATTGTACATTTGCCGGATGGGCTGGCCTCTGGGCCATTCCACTAGCTCAAACCCCTTCTGTATGTTAAATAGATACATTAAGCTTGAGTAGCATGCCTTCATTCTTCTGCAGGGATGTCTTGGGGGCTACTTGAGGGTTACTGGTATGGCTCGATGCCGTGCAGATTGTCAAATGCACAATGGCAGAGCCCCTGATTGTTCGGTTACGAATAACGAGAGTTGAAACCGATAACTAATCTATTGCTCCCAGTTGTAACGGACTCTGAGTTCCTCTCTTTCAATTCTGGTTTAAGACCCTAAGAATGCTAATAGCGCGTGGAGGATGGCGTCTTCATAGGTCGCTAAAGTATAAAGGGCAGGAAGGTTCATTTCCTCCCCACGGCTTATAGGTTTGAACTCACCTGAAGCGCACATTCAAGCAAACACGAATCACACAATGTGTTTGAGCCAGCCATAACCACTCACCCTTCACAAATATTTTGCAAGGCAAAATCATCTATGCCCCATGTTCAGGGCACTCGATTCTCAAAGATGTGGGGTCAAACATGTAAGAGCTCATCAAACACTGAGAATTTCAATCTGCTTGATTACCACTCTCTTCTAGACGAGGGACTAGAGGGTCATTTCTGACAGTCATAATTTTGCCTTGAAATGAGGTGGGTTCTCTCTGACACTCCATTTTAAAGTGACGATGCCTAAAAAAACTATAAAAGGTCTCAACAACGTGAAATGAAACTTGGGGCCATTTAAGCTTAAGTGCGAAACCTCGTCGAAAAGATGAGTTTATTTGAAACATTCGCTTGCAAACACACATAATAATTAAAACTTAGAAATGAATGAATAATTGCGCTCAAAAAGATGTCTATTCCGCAACCGAATTATGGCCTCGTCTTGATCTACAAGTGAGAGAAAAAGAATAAAAAAGCTTGATACTAAAGAACGTTTTAACCTGATCTTCCTCTTATTTCGTCCATATTCTAAAGCCATTTTTTCGACGATGTTCACAACTTTTTTACGAGCTGCAGAGCAGATGCTAGAGTAGGTATCCAGGCATTTACACCACTAGTGAACAACAAGGTAGCCAACTTGAAGACAACAATGTAATCAACACCTCACCAAAGATAACTTTAGAAGAAACAGCTAGACGTAGTGATCCGAAGCACCACTGGCTATGACGAGACATTAGTGAGGTTTGTTTCCAAAAGACCATTCCCTAACTTTTGGTCATTTCTCTTAAATAACTAAAAATTCGTTACTAAACGACAAAGGCAAACAGAGGAAAGTAAGCGACTTAAAAGCAACGACCTAACTTCTAATTAACCTTAAGCATTGAAAAATAAAACAAAACAAGTAAATTACACGTGAATCACGTACACGATTCATTGATTAACTGCTGGAGTAGAGGTCAAAGAAAGATGGAATTACAAGCGAATGCCAATAATGCATTCAACGCAAAGAAATAGAAATCGAACTGCTAACCAAATGTAGATATAAAAGAACATGAAGAAAACTGTCTATAGGGGCGATTGTAAGTAGCATTAATGCAGAAAAAAGGTTTGGTGGGGTTCTCTCGATCATTCCAACGCCAATATGAAAGGAACACCAAATGTGGCGACAGTAAATTAGAATTTTAGCCTTTTAGGAGGCAAAAATAATGTCAAAAATGTTTTACAATGAGACAACAAAGTGGTGAAAAATATAGAGGACTTATCGACTTGAGATAATAGGCATCTGAAGAAAGACTACAAGGCACAATAAATCGAAAAACAGCTGGTCAGTTGCTAATTAACCACTGATACCAAAAAACATGCTAAAGATGGGGTGATTATTCAAGATTGGTGATTGAACTGACCAAAGGAAACTTTGACATAAATGGCACCAAGGCAAAATTAGCGACGCAGCCGAAAAAAAGACTTCAATCTCCTGCCACCTAAAGTAAATTTTTGGAGGAGAGACAATAGTAAAAGTGGCAGACAATGAACTTCCACTAACTAACAAGTTAAATAATTTTATAAAGTGAATGTCAACGATGTGGTCAACTCAAAAAAAGCTGATCAAATATTAGCCAATCTCATTGATACTAAAATAGCACTGAAGAATGAAGCATTATTTTAAAAGAAACTGATATTTGCATGAAAGGGAGAGACTACTGAGTTTTCGTACCTAAATATCGACGACATACGCCTTCTTCTAGCGTTAATGTTGACATTGGTGAGGGAGCCAAGGAAGAGCTCATTACTCAAAACGGAGGCACGACGCGAAATCTTTGCCATGTAGTTCTGTCGTTGACTCTCCGGCTGTTCCATGACTTCCAACACCACACCGCGACTTAGCGGAGGTACTTGTTCGTACATCGAATCCACGATATAGTAGGACATCTACGAGTAAGAAAGTGCTAGCATTTAATAAGTTACTGACATTAGTAAAATAACAAAACTCATAATCGTTCGTTTGTACGTGCCTGAAGATTCCTTTCAACTATCTTGTCAATATCAAAGTCATCCTGGTCTTCACCGAATGGATTAATTAACGACTCAGCCACCTAAAATACAGCAAAATGTAAAGTATTTTTAAGAACTATTTATTTATATTTGCGACGTCGCAACATCAATTAATGCTAAGAATGGCGCAAATTATGCTGATATTAATAAACAATCTACAAAAATAACGGGTTTTGAGTGTGAATTTAGCTCTAATTCTAAAGTAAACAATGTTTACAGAGCTAAAGGCAATTGTTGCATGCAAAACCCTCTTACAAAGCCATTCAATGACACGCAGTATTCACAAATTACCGCAGTCCACATATACACGCAATGATGTCAAAGGAGAAGTATGTAAACAAAATACACAGATATGCCGCCTACCTTAATCCATCCCATGTAAAAAAAGAAACGCAGAAGGCCAAAAATTGGTACATACAAGTCCACTTCATCCCCCATGACACTTTTATTCGGATCCAGAAATTGCCACGCAAAGAGGGAAGAGATAGTGTAACTGTAGACTGTCAAGATGGCTACCTGAAGAAATGGTAATTCAATGTTAAAGTACGTGAGTAAATAAGCCGAGATGAGGGATCCACTGGCCCTCCACTAACCTGTGTATAGACTAATGGAACGGAAATCAAGTTGTAGCAGAGAATAGAGCCAAGACCACTGCGAAATTCGGCAATTTGTTTGCAGAGCAGTTCCACAGAGCGATCGGAATTAATAGAGCCTTCCATGCGCATTTGCGAGACAATATCCTGCGCCCACAAGCATGGTTCTACGTAGCACGCTGAGAGTTGAAATGGAGCACTTTGGAAGTAAAGTAGTAACTCCTCCTGGGTCGCCAAACCTAAGTAGAGATAAAAGTTACTTTTGCCAAAATTTATTAAGAAAAATTTTTGGTTTGCCCACACTAAGTATTTGTTTTCACTTCTCTTTGAAACCCATTCGTGGGAATTCACTGGTAATCTACTGTAGGTTCAAAGTTAATGCACGGGTAATAGTGTTTTCAGAATTTCTGGGGGTCAGAACCAAAAAACTTTCATTGTCCTTACAGCACTTTCTGAGAAATTTAGAAACAGTACCATGGAAACAAATCCACTAAAGGAACAAACTGTGAGATTTTTAGGATTTCATGAATTTCTTGAAGTTAAGAAATGACTTACATTAACTGGTAACGACTAACCTGCAGATACCAAACTAAACTCGTTTGGGAAAAGCAACTTCGCTCGCGAACACATATCGAGTACAGCCAGAACAAAGGAGAGATTGACGTAGCGCATGATGGTTCGGCGTTGCATTCGGACACGCTCCGAATGACCGAGCGCGTAGGCGCCCAGACTCATAGCTATTTCGTCTGGCCAGGGAATATTGAGAAACTGATCCCACCAGCGTTCAACTATGATGTCCACAAAGAAACCCAAAACAAAGTAGACGGGGATGTACTCGCCATAGTATTTGCAGAAGCTGCAATATGCCTCGAATGCGCTGGCAAAAGGGTGCAAAATCAATTATCAAAAAGCATTCAATAAAAAAATACTCCTTAGTAAAAGGCTAATGCACTTGTGTATCAAAAATACATCATGTATATAAGCAAAAATAACAGTCCCTGTTGGCTAATACAATAAATTTAAAGCGACAAATTGCTAATACACTTCTGGGGCAATATATGATGCTTATCACAAAACTAAAGCAAAATACATCAAAAGTGTACTAAAACAGACCTTTAAAATTAATCAGACCGATAAACAACGTTACTTGAGCATTACTTGACACAAAGTAAATAAGGCTGAACTTAACAAATGCATAAAATCAATTTATCAAAAAAACCTGGGGAAAAAATTAACGATGCTGGTAACATGGTAATTGTTACTTAAAAAGGGTACACTAAATGTGACATGGAAAGTAGACTCTTACCGCTTAATAGAATCAGGCATCACAAAACGATACGTCAAAGAGATTAGGAAATACAATCCACAAAATAGTAGAAAGTCAAACCAAATGTAACGATAAACGCTTCCTCTCCATCTTAAGTCTGAGTACAAAAATTGCGCAAACCTGAAGAGAAGTTTCATAAAAATGAACCATGAGTTGGTTGCAACAGAGTTTAAGTAGCGCACCGTCATTTTGAAGATGGGTGTGGTCTAGCTACCAGTTTTCGCACATTGCCTTATAAGTAAATAGGTGACTGAAACAAAAAGCATTCAAAATTTGTTAAAATTTTGTCCTCAAGAACATGTAAGTCATAACAAATATTTTTGGGAGTGCTTGGCTTTAATTGCGCGTCATCGTCAAGTCAGTTGCGCAAACCCAATGTTTATTAATAATTAAATAATATAGGTGATTTTTCCTGCTTCTTGTTTGCCGACTTAATTCTGGATTTGTTTGTCTAGTCATTATGATTATCTAATTGCTGGATTTGAACCTGTTGCGGGCCCATTTAGTTCATGTAATCATAACATCCTTTTGCACTTACAATTGATTCTTGAGCGCTTTTCGTAGTTTCTATGGAAATATTATTAAGTTCTCGAAATTGTGCTATTTGTTATCCTTGGTCAATTTAGGGGAGGACAAGGTGTGAATGCATGTTTTTGCAGAACTTGTGTAATACGATGGTGGTTTATCCCTCGGTATTGTTGAAGCGCCGCTTTTGTACTTTGGATTAGCCCTCTTGTACCTTGCTGGGTGGGCTGGCCTTCAGGCCACGCCAATAGCCCAAACACCCTCTCTGTGCTGAATATATATTCTGCCCGAGTATTGTTTCTCTCGTCTTCAGGGAAGTCTCAGGACGCTACACATGTTATCCACTTCCTAAAACAGCTTCAAATTGCTAATAGGCGCTACTAATGGGTAAAAATACCAAGTATTTTTCACCCGATTTATTTGTGGCGCCCTGAGACTTCCCTCAATGCGAAAGAGGACATATTGCTAGAGCAGAATACTAATATATATATATATTCGTCAAACATTTTGGTTTGGGGCAACTACCATGTCCCGGAGATCAGACCACCCGACGAAGGTAAAATAGAGGAGACCCAAAGTGGCCCCTTCGCCAAAACCAGGAGTTAAACAGGCTACCAACGTATTACATTTGTTGTCAGATTCGCATCAGTGTGGATACAGCAGTACATTATGACTTGAAACGTTCTGCATAAATATATCCTGCTATTCGAATACATTTGCGAACATTTCCGCTAGATACTCTTAGAGAATGACATGAGAATTGGCATGATCTTAACAATACCCCCCTTGACAATTAAAAACAAAGTGGGTAATAAATCCTGTAGAACGTTTAGTCATGTGGACCTAGATGAAAGCATTTTAACTGATTAGCAAAAATGTAATTTAGGCAAGGATAAACTCAGCTTCTGAAGCTAGTTTTAATACTAATGCAGAGAGGCTGCAAGAGAAGAGAGCCTCAAATCCAGATCACGTATCTAACGTGGGATTGCACTGTACACACATCCAACCATAATGTTCATTTTGTACAGCAAAATGAAAGCTAGAAATCAGGGAGTGGCTAAGGCGCCTTTCCATTTTTTTTAGGAAGAAATGTGTTTAAATTCCTCTATCTATAAATTGATGATGAAGTGTTATTGTAATACGTCAAGTGTTCGTTTAAATCTCGGTTTCGGAGAAAGGGCCATTGTACCTTCGTCAGGTGGGCTGGCCTCTGGGTCATGCCAGTAGCCTCAACCCCCTCTGTACGTCAGCGATACATATTCTACCCTAGTATTATGCCTTCGTTCGCCTTTAGAGCAATCTCAGGCCCTACAGTTACAATGGAGCACTCAGTACGAAATCCAGGGGCAATGAGAAGTCTTATTTTTTACTAAGGATGAGGCTTCTTATCAAAATTGATTCTTCATTAATGATTAGGTTTTTTACTAAGGATAAGGTATCCTAGTGGGGTTTTATATGTAGAGGAATTGAACTAAGTTACTCTAACGTCCCACGTCTTCACTGAGGCCGTAAGACGTTAAAGTAGCGTGTCAGAAAATATGCTAATAACGCACAGAAGGTCAGGGAGGCCACTGACACCGCCAAACGGCCATACCGTAGCCTAAATCAAACGTAGAATTAAACTAGCTATCAAAGTATTACAATTACATCTAGAAAATGGGTTCCAACGCCCCCATTATCGTTTACCTATCCTGCAATCGGATGAGCACCTCGTGCTTTGTGCGTGTTGATGACAACTTCTTGTGGATCAAGGCGAAAATTGTTCTAACCTTTATTAAAATCACTTTTATCAATTGTGGGATCCAATTTCACCACCTCACTGGGTTACTGTTTGGTGATGCGAGACCCAAGTCTCATTTTGTTTTACTAAATATGCGTAGAAGATAAATTAGTCAATTCAGAAGCTTTTGCTAACGACATGATTTCTAGTGTAAAGGAGCCATTCCTGTGTTATGGAACCAAATTGAAGCAATGAGCGGTTAATTGTTCAAGCCAACTTCTTCATTCCTCCTGGTTAGCATCGCCGCCTTGCTGTAATGGCTTCTGCAAACTGCCCAGCAGCCCTTCCCTGCATTGCTAGTAAGGAGTCATTCATACTTTATGCAGCTCCACATCGTCGAATAACTAGGAAAGTCGAAAGGATTTATAACACCATAAAAAGTCATTTGGTTCAAATAACTAAGGGACAAGTCACTCACTTTTGTTTGCATGGTGCGTAAAACAACCAAACACATGGCTTGTGTTTTAAAACTAAAATTCCTGACGTCTTTGTATTTTGGGATCAAAATAAGGACGAGTTGCCAATGTACAATTGATGGTAACGATGTAATAGACTCAGGGTTTCTCGCCTCCACCTCATCTTCCGTACACTTTTCACGAGCAGTTGAGATGATAAAAGACATGCTTTATGTGGTAGTGATAACAAGAGGTTACAGGTATCACGGTTGCTGCATTACTTTGATTTCTTGTTTAACTCTTCGTTTTGGTTACGCGGGCTCTTAAGGCTCCGCTTATGTACTTCCACTGGGTGGCATGACCTCCGGATCATCCTAGTAACTCTTCTCAGCCCTTCTGTACGTCGACGATGCATATTTGGCCCCAGCATTATGTCTTCTTTTGTCTTCAGGGCAGTCCCGGGTACGTTCCCCCCTCAATGGCCAATAAGGTCTGATCCGTCCTGAGGTTTGTATTTGCGGACAGACATGTAGTGCAATGCATCCTGCCAATGGCCTGAAATTTACTAGATACATAAATGGACTCCGGTGACATTGTATGGTAAAAAGATGCTAATTTTATTAGTATTTCTAAGGGGTAGTTCTTTGTTTATCTTAGCGTAATGGCGCCCCGTCTACTCCCATGACCCCTTAACCCAACCCCGCCACGCTTTAATAATGAACCTCCTTCCGCCCTCTCCCTAAACCGATGAGTCGCTACGATTGTATAGCCTTAAGTCGTATAATTTAAGTTTAAACTTCATTTATTGAAGAGAACTAATTTTTCACTAGTTTATTATGTTAAATTCTAATTGGCACGGGTTTTATAGGCGGACTTTCTACTTTTAATTTTACCGGTTGAAATTGAATATGAAATTGCAGCAGTAGCCCACCGAGACCACCTTGAAGACGAGAGAAGGCAGAACATGTATTGCGGGCGGGAAGAAGGGCTGAGGTAGCTGCTGGCATGCTCTGGAGGCCACACCGCCTCGCGGAAGTACCAAAGCGGGATCTCAAGTACCAAGCGAAACCGACATGAAGAGTTTTAAAATCCAAGTACTTCATAAGATTTCGGAAAATGAGACGCAGCCAATTCTAGAACGCGTAACCCCCTATATCACTGGTAGTTTTTAAATCACCAGTCTTTTGTTACGGAAAACAGGAGGAGTTGGGATTCTGGTGTGGATAAAATGGGACAATTTATCTGTGTGAGTCACAGTAGGATAGTAAAGGTGCTATGAATTTCTGCCTAGGCGTCACGAACAATAGGCAGGGCCTCCCCAAACGCGAAAACAAAAACGCGATTATGCGATTAAAGCGAACATTGGCTCGGAGACGCCTTGACGATCAAGAAAATGGGGAACTGGCCATTTCCGACTATCTGCACGGTCCTTAGACAAGAAAAGGGCATAGCTGTATACCCTTCTACTCTGTATTTCTGTACGGCTTACTATAGCGCCCCGAGGCTTCCCAAAGGCTGAAGGTGGCACAACGCTCGGATAGAATATGTATGGCCGATAGTCAGAAGGGCTAGGGGGTACTGGCATGGCCCAGGGGTGTTGCCGATTAGCAGAAACCCCATAGCGGAGCCTTAAGTGCCCACGACACTAAAACAACGAGTTAAACAAGCAATCAAATTATTACGGTATTTCTATTTTTGATCCAAATGACATACAGAGCCCTTAAAAGTTGAGAGGATGAACCAATTTGAAATTTTCAAAAAAGCAAAGAATGATGTTTTAGACGCCAGTAGATTCCGCGCAATTTGCAGTGTAGCTCGGTGCAGTGTTTTGTTGCTACTTATGGAAACTGTTTAAATGCAAGCGAGTGTTTGTGTTGCATCCAGTGTAAAGCACAGATGGGCACCAGACCATTTATACGGCACTACAACTAATGTCCTTGACGGATGTGGTTTAAAGGAGTTTAACCCAGTTCCAAAGCTTCAGATGATTCTCATTTAATTTGCTGTCCAGCATTGGGAGAGGAGGCGTCATCAGGATGGGGCAGCGGAGCCTATCACTCAAAAAAAGCGTTTCATTCTGTTGATGGGTTGTTCAAAGGCAGATGCACTGCGATCTTCCCTCCTGGAACATATCAATTGGAGATTAACGTGTCAGGAACAACTGCCCGTCATGCTTCCATTTGTGGAGTGTGATTCAATTTTGCGACACCTACGTCGTCTCTGAAGGGAACGCCGTGGTGAAGCTGGACAAAGGAGTCCCACCCCTACGCATCAATGACACATGCCAGCCAACACAAGACTGGCGACAACTGACAGATGACAGATGGTGTGCTTAAAATAATGCCAATTTGTTCTCCACATTCCCATCTCAGTAGCAAGTCTAAAGACTAGCTATTTTTCTGTTAAATAGGAAAAGCGTTGTTTTAAAGTTTTTGTATGATTAATTTTACTACCGACAAAATGGGTCGGATAGTGGTTTCGACGCCGTCTCATTGATGCACCTTTCAGCAACTGCTGTCACTTTGGTTGTGTATGTCTTCAACGAGGAATTTGGGATAAACGATTCCGTCTCAAGTCCATCACGCGTGAAGCAGAGCTGAAGTTGTGTCTTGCCATGCATCAGTACATGTGGGATTCATTTGGTTAGCTTTCATGCCTTTCTCTGAGGAGTTGATGTAGACATCAACCGCTTGCTTCTTCATTCATCCTCAGCGTTGCGAAAAGGTGGTCTCTGCCTAATTTTTTACTCTTCGGTTAAAGCGTAATGGGTCCAACTCAGGGTCATATATTTCATTAAAGTCGCGGTATTGCTGCCTCTGCATCCTGCGACCGTACCTTCCTTTAATGTTGTAAGATATTCCCCTGGCTTTAGAAATGAGTTAGACCCGGTTTGTAAAAGGGGAAGAGGTAGAGGCATGTTCAACCGACATTATGTGAAGAGGGGGTTCAAAATGTGAGGAAAGTAGTAGAAAGCTCAAAAGACAGTACTAACCAACAGAGTGACATGTCTATGCTTTTGATACATGGCTACAAACAATGGTGGACAATTTCGCCGAGTCAATCCAAGTTGCCCAGACCCAGTTACTTGAGCCATGCCAAAAACAGCGAAAACTCTTGTGGTCAGCTCGTGGCATTGAGGAGGTTTTAATGTGTAAAAATCGGCCCTTCCTTGGACGATTTGTAAAACTTGTTCCATTTGAATGAATATGGTGCTGACCGAGGTAGATATGTGTCTCCTACAAAGTGTAAAAGGACCAAATGTTAATTTGGTCCGAAAGAATGCTTCAGGTTAAGTCATACAAGCTGTGACTATCCTTGGGCGAGCCGGATACCTTGGGATAGCGGTTCTGAACAGGACAGCGTATGGGATAAGCTGGCATTGTGCGAAGTTAAAACCGCTTTCTTAAAGCTCCTGACAAGCATGTAGACAATTTGAATCCTTAAACCTTAAAATAAAATCTACTCATGATATTCGCATACAACCAAGGCCAAAGACAAGGGTTTCCTATGCATGGTGGCGCATGGTAAATATTGCATGCACACTGCTGAGAACCGTCAACACGACCTCCGGCTGAGGAAGCATTTCTCAAACATCCTTATTTCCCAGTCATCTTTCTCATCATACAAATACCTCTCGGAAAATTAGGTCTCATGCTAACAATTATTCCAAAACCCGCGATATGGCTTTTGCTAATCTGACATTTATTGGCATATTTCATGGAAATTTTGCAATTTTTCTGTTAAAAGTTAAACGTACCTCTTGATAGCACGACAAATCTACGTCAGGCAGTCATCTCAATCCACTCGATCAAATTTTTAACCATGTTTCTGTAACTTCCTCAATAATCTGGACAACGCAATAGATAGTCATTGACACTCGTGCCTGTAATTTCCGTACCCTTTTTACTCTGAACACCTCACACTGCGCTTAGGTGTTGTCAGGACCGTATCAACTGCAAAAGTTCTTTCAAAATAAGAAATACTTCGTCAAGTTTGTGCCACGAAACATGCAATCACCTAGTGAATCATTTCATTTGCTTAAAATACAAATAAATTCTTATGCTTCCGATGCTTGATATATATACTGGCAATAAGAAAGTGTACTTAAAATCTAGCATGTCACAATATCACACGTCACTCGTTGTACTGTCCTGAAATATAAAGCAGTGGTGAATAAAATGTCATGGCTGACGCCACCTCCTTTTGATGGCCTTACAATCCTAAGAGGTTTGACTTGCAAATTAATTGGGAGTTACTAGCATATTACCCTTTTCATTTAGAAAACAATAAGCAAGACTGTTAAATAATACCAAACCTTACTAAGCTAACTGACATCTCGAATTGAGTTTTACGCATTCAAAATTAAACAATGAGACTTAAGTGACGCCTTATTTTTGAAGGTGGCCTTCCAGAGATTGGTTGTCTTGCATTGAGATGTCGAATCAGAACGACTGGACAAAACCTCCTTAATGCAGTCGAAATGCATGTCCTAAGATCAGGATGAGGCCATTCTGTCCCAGCAACAAAAGCCTCGATTGCGTGGGCGAAAATGCAAATGGTTGGTTTAGGGAGGAACGAACTGGGGGTGGGGGGGAAAGGCTTTCGGCTTCGACCCCGGTTATGCAAATTGTGACCTCTTTTTAGCCAAAAGGCCTTTCTACAATCTAGTCTTTCTAACATATTCCGACACGCTTTTGCGACATTCAATCCCGTCACCTAATTTCATTGGCATGGTGATGATTCAAGAAATGATAACAGAAAAAGGTATTTGTTCTAATTCGACTTCCCCCTGCGATGATGAGGATCTTGGCTCATATCACCTACGTTATCGGTCGCTTCAGTCACCACCAGACTCGCATGTCTGGACTTGAGTGCCACAATAATGGCATCATTTGAAAACCTGTCCTACAATAACGGCAATCCGCTTTGTGTCAGCGGGATATTAAACTAGACCGGCTTTTGGTGAGTGAATTCGAGAGGCAAAAGCCTGGCTGAAGTCAGATTGATTGTTGTTGGAGGCGCTAATCTTAGGTTCTCTTACTATGACCAGTGATGAAGCGGTGTCAGAATTAGGGGAACAGCAATCTTACTGAAGGTATGGGTAACGCTGACAAGAAGGCTCAACAACATTGCGACCTGTAGACTGCGGCCAATCCAGAAGGGCAAGTAAGTAGAAGGGAAGGTAGAAATGTGAATAGGAGCAAGGCCTGTCTCCGATTGCCACTTGAAACATGGCTGAGAAAGTCGGCTTCATTATGAAATTCACTCTTTCTGAAACGTCGATCAGCCCCAAATGGATTGCAATCATAAAAATGTGAGTAATAAATATGGTTGGAAAACATTTGCCAGTGATTTCCTCCCATAGTCGTCTCTCCTGTCTACGAAGGACACAACGAAACAGTAGACATGCCCCATACGGAATGTGTACATTATTTATACAAGCCGTTGGGAAGACCTTTGCAGGTACCCACAATTCGGCATTCACGGCGGTGGCATGCAGTCCTGACCTATGTCACCAATGTCATTAATCACCAAACTGTACAGGGCATTTTCAGTCAAGCTGAATTTTAAAGACACACCCAGTAAATATTTACCTTTGGAGATAAAAACACCTAAGTCTAGTCTTATTCTTTCCCATTTCATCTTT